TTCTCAAAGAGATTTAAACAAGCAATCTCTTCTTCTCTCTCTCCTTCTCTTCACCACCCTCCAAAATACTTTTCTCTTCTTACAAGTCCCTCTCTCTCTCCATTTCTGACTTCATGTTCTGTCTATGTGTTACATACTTCCTACATTTAGTAAGTACATGTTCACCTGCTTCTGCTTGATTGCATACCTCACAAAGAGCAGATGAATGTTTTCCAGTGATATGCAGATACTTAACCTGGTCATTACTCCTCTCTTCTGTAGCTCCTCCCCCTCTATTTGACTTCATCTATTTCCTGCTGAACTTCCTGAATACAGAAGCTCAGCGGGTACAAACAGTAGCAGATTTTATTTTTTGTTGCTTGAACGTTTGCAATGAAGACCAGAAGAAAACATTTAGTTCATGTGAGTTTATTCAGGATGTCAAACTTCAGTTTGTTCACACATCAAATCAGTAAAGGTGTTCAATCATTTCATGAACACATTCACTTCATCCACACAATCACTTTGTTTGATCAGAATCTCCACTCACAAAACAATGATTTATCTCCTTATTGATTTAATCAGGAGGATTACATTTTTAAAACACCTCAGAGGACATTTTTACATCACTTTGAATATGAACAACAACATTTATTCTGACTAACTCATTTCTTTAAGTGTGATTTTATAGATTTCTACAAATGTACAAAGTGGTGAGAAGAGAAAATCAGCATGAAAGAAAAGTTTGCTGCTCTCTCTCTCTCTCTTCAGACTCCTGAATCAGAACAGAAACAACAGAAAATATAAATGTATGAAAACAAATAATCAAACATGGAGAGCAGAGAGAAGTTGATATTTATCACTCAGAGAAATGTCAGTTCAGGTGAACAAAAGTCATCCTGAGCAGTGAAAGAGTCCACGGCTAAACAGACACAGGAAGGAGTGTCACTTAAAGACACTCAAACATTTACAGAACAGACGAGAAGAGGTCAAAGTACCGCCCATAAAGTTTGATTGACAGGTGACACGATCAGATCTCAGCAATGAGCGTGAATAAAAATCAAGTTGAAGATTTAAAACACAGCAAGTTAAACATCTGTCTCATTAATGACTTCTGTCTATTTCAGTTTACACAACTCAGCTGAGTCTCCAACATAATAAACCTGAGTCCAGCATGTAGAGGCTGAGTGAATGTGGTCTGGACTCTGTGGAGGAGAGTCATGGTTTTAGAGATGCTGTAGAAGGACAGAATACCTGCTCTGTGATCCAGGTACACTCCTACTCTGGAGGACTGAGGACCTGAGACAGGAGTGTGGACATTGTTGTAATAAAAGTTATATCTGTTGTTGAAACAATCTAACGCCCAAGATTTGTCATTACATCCAAATCTACACTCATTCGAACTCCCTGCTCTGCTGATATTCTTGGATGTGACTGCTACAGAAACTCGTCTTCCTCTCTGCTCGACTTCCCAGTAACAACGTCCAGTCAGACTCTCTTTACTCAGGACCTGAAGACATCCAGTGAATCTGTCTGGGTGACTAGAATAAGGATTGGTCTGACTCGTTACTGTTACTTTTCTGTTCCCATCAGATAATAACAGCTCTGTGTTTTCTGTGTTTGGATCCAGTGTGATGTCACATGAATATTTTAAGAACTCAGCTCTGGTCTTGGGCTCTGGTTCTGGTTCTGACAGTAAAACATCCACTTCAGTCACTGTCTGTGAGATGTTTGTCCATTTCTCTCTCAGGACGTCCTGTAGTTTCTCTCTGACTTCTGACACAGCCGCTGCACGTCCTCAAAGTACCTCAGGACGGATCTTGATGCTGGATGAGTGTGTAGATTCACTGAGTGGTGACAGTGAGGGTAGTCGTGTAGAAACTGGTTGTGGTCCTGTGTGTGTGACAGCTTCTTCATCTCAGCGTCTCCTCTTCAGCTCAGTGATCTCCTGCTCCAGCTTCTCCTGAAGCTCTCTGACTCGACTCACTTCAGTTTGCTGCTGGGATCTGACCTGCTGCTTCACATCAGAGCGTCTTTTCTCCATGAGACGGATCAGCTCAGTGAACATCTTCTCACTGTTCCCACTGTTTTATCAGCGGAGCCATTGATAGCCTCCACCTCTGTTGGAGCAGCTTCACATCTTTCTCTCTGTCCTGGATTCTCTGCTGGATGTTTTGTCGACTCACCTCCAGCTCTCTCTGCTTCTCACTCCTTTCTGCTGCAGCTGAGACTGTGTCATGACCTTTGTGTTCGTCCACAGAGCAAGATAACAGATAGACTGCTGATCAGTGCGACAGAACATCTTCATCACCTCATCATGACGAGAGCAGACGTTCTCCTGGAGCTTCTTGGAGGGTTCCACCAGCTTGTGTTTTGTATAGGCAGTATTTCATAATAGGCTGGAGTGTTTCTCACAAAATGAGATCAAACAGAAGAGACAGGACTTACAGGCTTTCAGTTTTCTCCCGGTGCAGACATCACAGGCCACATCTTCAGATCCAGCATAGCAGTGATCAGCAGGAGCAGCTTGGAGTCCAGTCTTCTTCAGCTCCTCCACTAAATCTGCCAACATGGTGTTTTTCCTCAGGTCAGGCCTCGCTGTGAAGGTCTGTCTACACTGAGGGCAGCTGTAGACTGTCTTCTCATCCTCTGTATCCCAGTGGCTTTTAATACACTTCATGCAGTAACTGTGTCCACAGGTAAGAGTCCCCGGATCCTTCAGGAGATCCAGACAGATCGAACAAGAGAAGGTTTCCCGGCTCAGCTGAACTCCTTTCTGCGCCATTTCTCCTCTCGGTAACAACGACTGTCTGAGCTTCACTTCCTCATAACTGATAAGAAGTTTCACCTCTAATCCATAAAGCATGTCTCTGTGCATGTGACTGTGCAGGTGTTGTTGGTTACACCCATCCTCAAACTGTAGATCTAAAGGGGAGGGAACCAGGAAGTATGAGGACAGAGTGCAGCAGGCTGTGTTTGAGAGCAGGAAGAAGAGGGAGGGCTGATCGAACTACGATTCATTCCAGGAAGAGGAGCGGTTTGAGAGAGATACTGGTTTACAACAGAGAACATTTCTCTTTTAAAAACACTTCTCCTTTCAGAGTTTAGGAAAGGTGTCACACTCACTTTATTTCAAAATAAAAGCAGAGTTGAATATAAACATCAAGTAAAGTATACTCTCAGTATAAGGAGGTACAAAACTAATAAATATTGTAGAATGATCGAGGGTCGAGTTACTTTTACCACGTATTCTGAACTAGAGGACCTTAGTGGGAGTGGCCTGCGGTGCTGTGCATTCTGGGAGTTGGTGTCTTTCATCCACATGAGCCAAAAAGACACTTTCTGCCTTTTCACGGCCAAGAAGGCACCAACTTCAAAATGTATTTTACATTTCTACATATATGACCCAATGTCAATACAGACTCATGTTTTAACGGGTGAAGTATCCCTTTAGTGAGTTTGGGAAAATCTTCAGTTTTTGACAAACTTTAAAAGATTGCTTGTATAAAGATTTTCATATTTTTGAGAGCCTTAAGATGTCAGAATGACCAAACTTTAATCACTATGTCAAATTAACTTTCATTTCTTATTGTTGCTTCCATATATTTGATTGGATGTGTGTGTTTAATGATGTCGGTCTTGGACATCTGTACAGAACGTTGAGCAGGGTGTGGAAGAAGTCCTGCCACATGTCGCTGTGGGGGTTTCTGACGGGCAGAAAAGAACACAGAAGGAAGATCTTAGATGATGTAAGAGATTGAGATCCACTGGCCGGCTTTTTGGAAGCTTTCTGGGGGAGAACTAATGAGCTTCCGGGTGGGCGTGTCCTTGAATGAGCTGCCTGGATGGGCGGGTCCTACAACTTTGCTCCATGTACGGCTCTAATGCTGCGTTCATGTGCTGTCGGACAAATCGGAAAACTGAGTTCCCGAGTTGTAAAACGCACATGAACACCTGCTCAAGTCAGAACAACAACTCGGAAACTCGGAAAAGAATGAGGTGCATCTCGTGTTTATAAGAAAACGTAACTTTAGTATGAACATCGTAACATTATGTCTGCATTGTATGATTTGAAATATAGATCAGCATTGTAGATGTCTTTTAAAAATGTTCAGTCTGTAATAATCGTGTCTTTGTTCTATCATATAAAAATATAATCTGCAGAATAAAGAAACATCTACTGCTTAGTTTTACTGCGTGCTTTTTGAGTCTTTCTGAAAGTGAACATTATCTTTAGATGTTTTTCCTTTATTATCGGGGTATCCGTCATTGTCGAGTTAATTCTCCCTCTGTTGGGTTAAAAACCCCTCCCCCAGTGTCACCCACCTGGGGGAGGGGTTACTGCCCTTTGTGATGTCACAAAGGGAAAATCTGCAAACGGCCTGTTTAAGCACACATTTTCTGAGAAGACGGAGAGGATGACTTTTCTCATGATTGGGGGTTGTAGACAGACTAGAGACACATGGTGAATATATATTTTACAGAATATGTGACCTCTGAAGTGAAATAAAAAGCGGAGAAGAAGTTACTTAAATCTGAGCAGAGACTGAAGATAAACTGCTTCAACACTTTATTCTTTACCAAAGTAAAGTGGACGATGCTTCCAGTAGTCAAATGATTCAAACGCTGATTTTATAAAATTAAAAACAAAAAGGATAATAATTACATTTTTTTTTTTACATGCACACATTGTGAAGATACCCAGATCCTCCTCCACACCTTCAAAAAGTTACAATAAAAAGATGAAGTGAAGGTTGAGATCTCAGGTGGTGCTGATGGCGTTGGCGGTGGCGTCGTCATCTGCGGGCGGCCTTGCGGCTCTCCAGCAGCAGCACCACCAGGCGGCTCTTGAGCGAGGGCAGCTTGTTGCTGTAGTTCTGCTGCAGACGGACGTCAGCTTCCAGCGGAGACTCTGCAGGCTCAGCAGGGAGCCGCAGTCGGAACGTTGAGCAGGGTGTGGAAGAAGTCCTGCCACATGTCACTGTGGGGTTTCTGACGGGCAGAAAAGAACACAGAAGGAAGATCTTAGATGATGTAAGAGATTGAGATCCACTGGAGATGCAGCTTAACCCTCATGCATCACTGTGGACATTTTTGGTCAAATGTTTCCTCTTCACCTGGCCATCATTTTGTCTGTTAGTGCATATGGCACACATTTTTGTAAGAAAGTCTCTCTCTTGACACATTTTGGAATGCACATTTTATTTTTTTATAGATCAATAGAACACTGAGAAACATGTTTACTACCCTCTGAAGTCACTAAGGACAAAAATGTCCACTTACAAAAAACTGCTATAAAAATAGAACAGATTGATATTCTATTGATTTTCTACTTTTTTCTGCATAAATCTCTTAAACAACTCCAGCCCTGCTCAAAACTAATAATTTTTAGGAATTTAACCCTTTAAATGCCAGTTTGATTACATGTTTCTGGCATTTAAAGGGTTAAATTCCTTAAAATGATTGAATGTTTGATAGTTCTGAGCAGGGCTGAAGTTGTTTAAGAGATTTATGCAGAAAAAAGTAGAAAAAAATATCAATCTGTTCTATTTTCATATCAGTTTTTGTAAATCGGACATTTTCGCCCTCCAGTGTCCAAACAGGGAACTACATTTAAAATCTGATGCTACACAAAAACTAACAATGCATCAAAGTCAATATTTTGGATAATCTTTGACATATACAAGACTGATTTTAAAAAAATCCCCCAGCCACCAAATATTTGTTAAATGGACAATAACTAATTTTTGTGTTTTTTTTCTTCATAAATAACAGTGACATCAAGTAATCAAACTGGCATTTAAAGGGTTAAATTCCTGAAAATGATTGAATGTTTGGTAGTTTTGAGCAGGGCTGAAGTTGTTTAAGAGATTTATGCAGAAAAAAGTAGAAAAAAAACATAAATCTGTTCTATTTAATAGCAGTTTTTGGGAAGTGGACATTTTTGTCCTTAGTGACTTTAGAGGGTTGTAAATTTAACTGATGCCTGAGGGTTAAGAGGACTCACCTCCTGAAAATGCCGTTTGTCTTCCACACGCCGTCTTCATTCATGACCTGCATGTACGTCCCGAACAGCATGCAGTGCACCGTCCCCGCTATCCCGAAGTAATCCGTCTGTAAATATATAAAAGATGCTTTGGTGCTTTAGTAGAAGATGTGAAATCAGCACAACAATTTTAATATAATTTACAAACAGTCTGTATTTGGCGATCATCATGTTAGCACCCATACAAAGTGAAAAACAAAAACAAACAACACCATGTGTACAATCTATCCCACCAGTTTTATTTGACATCATTTTGTTACTATACTGTCCTCCATGTTTTTCTTTGTCCTGTTTGCTCATTCACTTATTTTGTCCCTCTTTCTAATTCATTCATTTTATTTACTGACCTTTTTCCTTTTGTTTTGTTTTTGTCTAAATCTGCTTGTAAAACTGTATCATACCAAAGTTCCCCTCTTGTTTGTATCTCTTTTTTTTTTTTATTGTGTGAGTGTGTGTTTGCACGTTTTGGTGAATAAAAGTTGATAAAAATAAAGAAAGATGTTCCTCACCTGGTAGTTCCAGGGTTTCCCGCTCAGCATCTCCGTGCACTGGAACCCCGACGTCAAGCAGCGGCTGGTGAAAGCAGTGCCTTGTGGGAAGAGCTCCATGTCGATGCTCTGCCCGAGGTCGACCAGAGCGAGGCCGTGGTCGACGTTCTCCGCCTCAAAACATTTGTTCTCCAAGAACCTGAAGCACGGCGACAGAAACAGAAAACGACCATGAAAAAACTGCTTTAAGCGAGCTGAAATAAATCTGCTTTCGCTCTACTGTCAATATTTCTCTACCTCTCCCCCAGCAGGAAGTTGTCGGGTTTGACGTCGGCGTGGATGATGCGGACGCCGTGCAGCGTCTCCACCATGCGCAGGATGCAGACGGTGAAATAGATGACGAGCGGCTGAGGCATCACCTTATCGCTCAGCGTTTTGAAGATGTTCACTGCATTCTGAAAAGTGCAGACACAGATTTAGTCTAGGACTTGTATCTGTGTTGCCATGGTAACCACGCAGGTATCTATATCGTCATATTTGAAGTTGTAAATGGAATCTATCGAGGCGCCTCTCTCACTCGGGGGACGTAAAAACAAAACGTCGGTGTGACTTTACCAGCAGGGTGCCGTAGTTGTGGATCTCCCCGATCAGCACGCTCCCGTTGTTGAAGAGGTGGGCGGAGCGCAGGCTGCCGAAAAGGTGGCGGGCGGTGGGCGGCAGCCGAGCGTCCAGCTGGGTGTTGATATAAAACTCCCAGGGGTTGGCCGGCTTCTGAACCTGCAGAGAGACAGAAAAGAGTTCCATTAATGAAAAAGGAGCAAGACTCAGGGGCCATGAGCACACTGTGAGCTTTTGGATCCACAGCCTCACCTTTAACACCGTCTTCTCGGAGGTCGTGGGGTCGGTGGCCTGGTAGACCTTCGCAAACGCTCCTTCTCCGAGGACGCAGTCGACCCGAAGGGATGCTTTTCCTGTGAGAGGGAGAGACTTTTACAGTCTACAAACACTTTTCTTCTTCTCTGTACTACACCGCATTATTCAAAGTTAAAGTCGTTATGTCCTCCTTCTAACTTTAGATTCTGCTCCTGAATGCTCTGGATTTGTTTGGACCAGAGAAGGTAGGCGCTTTTAAGGCGACCCCCCCCCCCACACACACACGGCCGTTTTGGACGCCCCTCGGTTTGTCAGATATGAGAGCAGTTATCAGGTCAACAGGTGTTGCAGCGATGGAAGCGGGCAAGAGAAGTGGTTCAGATAGAAGTGATTGTACCCGACCTAAAAAGCCTCTGCATGTTTCTAATAAGCTCCACGAGCAGAAACGTGCTCAAACTAGGATCAATATTGGAGATGCTTTTGAAAAATGGAGAGAGGTTAGAACACAGAAAGGTTTACAGACCCATGCAGAGCTGGATAAACACTGAAGCTTCAGAGTCCACCACATGGTGACCTGAGTGAGCATCAACTCTAGAGGGGGGGGGAGAGACAGCTCTCTATGATGTTTAGATTTTAGACTGCAGTACCCATTTTAAACACTAGGGGTCAGCGTTACATAGTTTGTAATCCCCCCCGCTCTCTCTTCAGCTCTCCGATCTAATAAAGACAAAAATTGCCCCAAAAATATCTTCATCTACACTTAACTTGATTTATAGAAAATCATAAAAAAGTTAAATCTTTTATTAAAATAAAGATAGTTCTGGTCGTCCTCCTTACCCATGCTGATGGTCATCTTCGGGGAGATGTTGGGGAGGGCGCACTGCCAGGTGATGCAGCGGGGGTGAGACGTGAGAGGAGGGGTCAGAGTGGAGAGCAGGTAGGCGATCAGCTCATCGTCCCAGGGTCCGACACCAGCTGGGCCGAGCCCGTCCTCTCCGTCGCTGCATTCATGGTCACGTCGGCACCCGCTCTCTGCCCTCTGTCCGGACTCATCATGGGTTCATCGTTTGCGCTGAACTGCGTCCGCTGCACCGCCGGGCTCATGGGAACGTCGGCACACAGTGGCGGCGGCTGCTCTGGACTCATGGGGACATCCAGGCTCTTGTTGTGGACCATGCGGCGACGGGGACTCAGGAAGGCGTCCAGATCCGGCTCCGCTGTGACCTCCGGGCTCCTGATGGCCGGCCACTCTGGTTTGAGAGCGTTCTCCGGGCTCATGGGACGTCATCGTAGACCTGCTTCTGGACTCTCTCTGGACTGGCGGGTTTGTCTAAATCCTCCATGATCGTAAAAGGTTCACTTCCGGGTCGGACTGAACTCTCAGGTGGCCGGAGGACTGCTGTTCCTGAGGAGGTCGCTCGGGCTCGTGTAGACCTCCCAGCCGGGTCCTGCGGTCCTGGACGTGGAGCAATCGGTGGGACAGATGGTCTGGTCTCTGAAGGAGAGGACGGCGGGGAGGGGGCTGCACCATGGTGATGGAGGAGGTGGTCAGGCACGACGGGGCGGAGGCGAGACCTTCGCCCACGATGGTGCCTTGTCTCTGGTAGGACGGAGCGAGTGTGCTGACGGCGGTCTCCGAGAGCGTCTCGTTGATGGGACTCTTCTCGATGATCGGGCTGAAGGAGGAAAACAGAGGACACAAATAAGTCAATGTGAGAGACGACAAATAACGATAGATTTATCAGTTTTGTTACAGAGCGAGCTCGAGGAGATTTAAAACGTGAGTCCTGCGGTCGCTCGCTTCCCAACCGGCTATCGTATTTCAACACGTGACAATCCTCAGAGCACGCACGCACGCACGCACGCACGCACGCACGCACGCACGCACGCACGCACGTGCACATCTTTTTCCTCTTGTTCAAATCTGCAGGGATTCTGTCTGTAGCGTTGTTTTCACACACCGGGTGTTTACCTGAGTTTCTTGGTCTGGCGTCTGACAAAAGCTTCGCTCTCGACGTCTCCGTTGATTTCTAAAGAGAGAGAGAAGAGACATCACATTGTTTGAGCTGTAAGTTTTCAAAAAGAATAAACGATGGTGTTCAAAGCGCCCGTGCGGGTTTCGTCAGTCGTGTACCTGGGTCCGGGAAGAAGTTGCCGCCGACTGCCGTTTTGTGTGTGAACGGCGTGGAGACGAACTGAGCCAACATGGCAAAGTCTGTGGTGCTGTTGGGACACGCGGCCAGAGAGTTCAGGGAGTTGTAGCGAGCTCCCCACATGGTGCTCTCGTCGGGCGCCAGGTCAGGAGGCGTGTCCTGGACGAGGAAACAAAGACCGTTAGCAGGATTCAGAACGAAGACTAAATCAAAGAATATTTGTATTAAAATCTGATTTGAAGGACAAACGTCGAGCGTCCCACTGACCTCGAGAAGGGGGGGTGGAGTGTGTGTGTGTGTGTGTGTGTGTGTGTGTGTGTGTGTGTGTGTGTGTGTGTGTGTGTGTGTGGTCAGGGGTGAACCTCTCAGATGTTTCTAAATCCTAACGTCTCTAAAAGGTGATGTTGTGTTTGTGGTGACGTTATACTCACATTAGGTTTGTTGGACACCGGGATCTCAGCCAGAGCTCTGATTGGTTTAGACTTCTGGACCGCGGCAGGAGCAGCAACACTGGACACGGGGACGAAACAAAACCAGAGGTTATGATGGATAAAAAAAAATTAAAAAAAATGGACCCAACAGGCGAGCGCTGTGTTTCTTCAGGATGGAAATACTCTTAAGAAAACTCAAATCTTTCAGCAGCTGTTTGAACTCATTACAAGATATTCAGGCCTTCTCGCTCGTTCCATCCATTCCGGGTCATGTGGGGCTTGAGTCCATCCCCGCCCTCAGTGGGCGAGAGGCGGGGTTACACCCTGGACCGGTTGCCAGATCATTATCTGGACTTGTCAGCAGAGCGTGATAGTGTTGTAGTATTTTTAAAGCATTTTTTACCCAGTCTTGTCTCGGTCTCAGACTGGACAGACTCTGGATTTTAAATCAAGACCGTTCAAGACCACCACTGATCGGCTACTTCTCCACTAGTTTGATTTGAATCGCCCGGTTGCGGCCGCAACCTTCCCGGTGTAACGGTCTTAGTGAGTGACACGACTCCGGCACACAAGATGATGATTCTTCACTGATTTTTATGGTCTCAGTCTCGCCCCGCCTTGGCCCTGGTCTCAGTCTCCCCCTGTCTTGGTCCTGGTCTCAGTCTCGCCCTGTCTTGGTCTTGGTCTTGGCAGGGTTCCCACTCTTTTCTAGAGATCATTTTCAGCGATGATCGAGCTGGTATGACAGTCCGTGATTGTGCCACACCAATTTAACAAGGTTAATCACACCCACTGTGAGCTAACGCTTCAAAGGTTAAACATTTAATATCATGTTCTGGTCCATTTTTTACCCTTAAAAACGCAGTTTTGCATTTGAAGAGACAATGCTAACAAAGTTAAAGGTTAGCCAGTATTCAGCGCGTGTTTGACTCACACAGTTGGGTAACTATTTATTGTGCAAATGAACTTTTTTTCCCGATCTGTAGTTTATAAACATTACCAATTGGCATTTATCAAACGTATGAAATAATTGTATTTCACTCTCACTTTTGTCAGGCACAAAAGTCATAGCAGAACACAGTCCTAGCAAGAAAGACCGACTAGAGAGAGAGATTCAGTGCAAGCTAGCACGCCATCAAAAACGTTAAATAACTACTGTTAATGTGCGGACCTCAAACAGAGGAGAAAACACAAGTCTACCTCCATCCTCTCAACTAAATCCTAAAACTAAACTAATTATCTATTTATAAACCCAAAGGACAAATACAAAACAACACAACTGCTGCTATTTTATCATAAATATATTATAATAAATCTATAAATTGTGTTTTATTTTATTCTTTGTATCTGTGTGCTGTTCTATCCTTTGGTGTTACCTGCTGCTGGAATCTGAATTTCCTGAGGGAACCTTCCCAAGGGATTAATAAAGTTCCTATCCATCTAAATTGTAAATAAATATCTGCTTTTGACACGAGGGGAGGCGGAGCCATTACATTATCTACAGACGTGTGGCTGTGAAAATGTCCAACCCTGTAGGAGAGTGTGGGAATACTTTTCCAGGACATTTTTTACTTTACCTGCCGTTCTCTTTGTCCGTGTTGTCCTGGAAGATGGTGAACGGCGTCGTTGCGGCAGGTTTGGGGAGCGAGGGCGCGCCGCCTTCAAAAACTATCAATGCATCAAAGAAAGAATTCAGTGAACAATATGCACATTATTCAACATAAACATCTAAAATCGTGTTCTGTCCCTTTAAGACTTTCAAAATAAAGTGCATCCATCAGTTTTGTTTTCATTATGACACACACAGGAGTGTTTGCAGCAGATTTACCGTTTCCCGTGAAGCCCTGA